AGGAGATTAATCAGAACTGGCTTTGACAAGCACTGTGGCACCTGGACAATTAAAACAGACATTCGGGGGGGAAGAACGAACTGGGGAGGAGGGTAGAGAAAACAGTGCAACAATGAAGGAACGAAAACCCAGAATCTCTGTAAATGTTCATTAAAACGAATAAAATTTAATAATCATTTTAAAAAAAGTTTATCATGATTCCTGCATAAAGGATAATTTTTAACACAATCGTAACTCAGAAGAGTTAACTTATCAAGAACCCTGCATCTTTAGTTATTTTCCATGCAGACTTTGTCAGGTAACTTTCACAAACAGCAACTTTGATCTAAGACAGCCAAGGCTAGCAGCTTTTCTTACACAATGAAGGAACTGGTGATTGATGGTATACTTTACTCTTCAGGATAGCAAACCAAGGTAATTTGCAAATAACAATGGGAAGCAGGCAGAACAAAATTGAGTCTTGTCATTTCTGCTGTTTTCTATGTCCATGTCAACCACTTAAGGAAACTACTATGTTCTAAAACACCAGTAGAGGGAGATGGTAGGAGAAGAGCTATCACCTACCAATTAATAGTAGTATTAGAGTAAGCATGGATATGAATGGGTTCACAAAAAAACTGAACCCTCAGTTAAGAACCTAGGAGCAAGAAGTTTATTGTGGAGGTAGGAAAAATGAAACTGGGTGAAGGGAAAAGTCAATAAAGGGCTGATGAATTGCTATGGAAAACTGAAGTTCAGTCCTGATTAGAGACCCTCTGAGGAACTGCAGGGAACAATGCCAAGAATTGTCCCAACTAAGAAAAAAGAAAGCTGGGCATTGGTTGATAACAGTTCCTGAAGCCATTAAATTCCAGCAATTCCTGGCTATCATACATAAATGGGGCTGACTGCCTTGAACTCAAACTGAGCCAACTCAGAGATTAGGGTGTTTGAAGAAAGAAGCTGTTAGCATGTCTAGGGCATCTGCCTACCATAGCTGCAGATGAACTGCAACAAGAAAAGAGGCGATAGGAACACATCTACTCCAAGCCAGAAGGATATATCTGTTTAAAAACCAAAACAGCTTTGTTACTATAACACACATTCATATTCTCCCACCCCCCCCCACTACAGTAGTAGCAAGGAGGAAGAAATGTTGCAAGGACATAATAAGGACAGACTCAAATAACAAAGCACAGCAGTAAGGTGCTAAAATACAGAGGCAAAGGCAACAATCTGACAAAAAGCTCTTTGGATGAAAATTACAGGTAACCTTTTATTAAAAGGCCAATTTGCCACCAATCACAAAATTTAAAGACTAACAACAACAATATGCAGTGTAAAAGACTGGTCAAGAATCTTATTTACAGGTCAAAATCAAAGGAATGCCATTATTGTAAGCCAGGGGCTGGCAATCTAAAATTGCCAAATTCTCTCCTGCCACGAGCTAGAATGGTTTTTTTTCTAAAAATCTTATTTTAATGAAAGTTTACAGAAAAGCTGAATTTTTCGTTTATTCATTTTTGCACATTTTCCTCCCTATCCCCCAGTTTGCTTTAAAAAAAAATCCATTGTTTCATAATTTTCTCCCTCTCCCAGTCCCCTTTACTATGCACCTCTTACGCTGAATTACTGTCATACAAATAATGCATAATCATATATTCCTTTTAAACAGTTCTTTCTTTGTTCTGTCCCAATACAGTGTTCATTAATTATCTCCTCTTTCTTTACTTTCCTCCCAACCTCTATGTCAGTCCTGTTTTATAGTGGTGGTGGTATGCAGTGTTTGCCCTTTTGTAACGGAAATATTTCACATAATGCCCTCGAAGATCACCCATGTTGTGTATTATTTTATAAGTTCCTTGTTTTTCAGTGCTACATAGGATTCCACTGTGTGAATATACCACAGTTTGTCTATCCATTCATTTGTTGATGGGCACCTGGTTTGCTTCCATCTCTTTGCTATTGCGAATAATGCAGCAATAAACATGGGTGCATGTATCTGTTTGGATGATAGCTCTGTGGTGTCTTTAGAGTATATTCCTTGCAGTGGAACTGCTGAGTCAAATGTTATTTCTATTTCCATCTTTTTTGAGAAAGTGCCATACCACCTTCCATAGTGGTTGCACCTTTTTACACTTCCAACAGCAGTGAATAAGGGTTTCAATTTCTTCAATCTCTCCAGCATGTATTGTTTGTTCTCTGTTAAACTGTGCTATATTTCAAAGTTTTAATTTGCATCTCTACGAGAGCTAGGGATTTTGAACATTTCTTTATGTGTTTATCATTTGAATGTCTTCTTTGGTGAAGTGTCTGTTCATATCCTGTGTCCATTTTACAATTGGTTTGTTTACCTTTTTCTTGTTGAGGTGCTGGAGTATTCTATAAATTTTAGATATGAGTCTCTTATTAGATATGTCATTACCAAACTTTTTTTTCTCCAGTCCGTGGGTTAACTTTTTACTCTGTTGGAGAAGTTTGCTGATGTGCAGTAGTATGATTTTTATATTTTTTTAATGGAGGTGGTGTGGGGTACAATAATGCATTTTGTGGCTATAAATAAAATATTACATGCCTTTATATAATAATGATTTTATGAATGTAACACAGTCAGACTTGTTCACATACTGTTTATGACAGCTTTTGTGCTGTAAGAGCAAAGTAGGGTAGTTGATATAGGGGTCTTTGGAAAAGAACCTCATAAAACCCAAAATCTTTACTACACAGTCTTTTGTGAGAAAAATAAATAATATAAAGTTTAATTCCAGGAATAGAAAGAAAAATCTTTAAAACAACAAAACCTAAATCCCAAATGAACTAAATATGATTCCAAACAATTCCTCTTCTATGGAGGCAATTCAAGTACTGACTGACGTTAACTACAACTTTGTCATTATTTAGAATCTAAAAATGTTCAATTGTTTCCCCATTCTGTCAGAAGATATTTATCTTTACTTATTTAATACCAGGACTTTCACATACTCCACAATTTATCGTTGCAAGCAAGGTACAGATAAAATTTGATCCCCACTGTAAGC